TTTCCATCATTCCAGAAGGAAGCTGGAGCACTTTCTTTCAGCAGGATGTGTGGGTGTAGTTGATAAGGTAGTTTCACTTTGCACTGTTCTCTGGGGGGCAATGTGACAGGTTCAGCTCTGTGCCTTGGCTTTCTAGAAGCAGTAAAAAGGCCTTGTGCTTTAAAATGTCCTCATCCTTGCACTGTATTTAAAGTACCCTCAGTGTACATGTCCAGTGTGGTAGTGTTTAAAAACAAGTTTTGATGAGTTGTGCTGTATTTTTCTTACGATCTTGGTGAAGGGGGAGCCATCCCCTGGCCCTGGCTGTGACAGGTTGTTTTATGAGGTGTTAGCCTTGATAGTGTGGATACAAGCTGTTCCATGCTGTTTGGCTTTGGGGTTAGTTTTTCATGGAGACATTCACAACACCAGTATAGATGTAATCATTGTGTCCTACTCTTAAACATGGTTACATCTAAACATGTGATGATTTGGGTGCTTCCAAAAGTAGTCTGTTTGAACCCATTAAAGGGTGTTGGTAATCTTGCTCTTCCCGAATATTTGCAGTCCATTTATACTGGAGCAACTAATTTGTCAGTGATGGAAATTGAAGTACAGTTTGAATGCTTGGATCTTACAAATGCACTAGGGCCATGTGCAGTTACTAAAATTCGAAGTAGTAAGTTTTCATAGAAATTGTGCACATGTACCTAACTGGGATTTGATCTTGTAGCACTTTTCCTGTGGAAACTGAACAAGGAGTCCAAATCAGTATCAGGAACAGCTATAATTTGACTGATGCTTAAGCTATCTGAAGCACTGCACTAAAACACTGAGTTTAATAAGCCTCATGCATGTAAATTAGTAGCTTTTTTCATGTAAGTTTGATAAAGGAAATGTTTGTGTATTAGTTCAGAATGTTTTCAATTAGATTTTAGACAAGTAAGGGATCTTTTAGGCAGTTAGAACTTTTCGTAAGTTAGGCTTTTCATAACCTTAGGCTGAAGCTGGCTTCATGAAAACTTAGAACAAAATTCTTTGTGGCGAATTTTATTTTTTTTTTTTTTTGTTCTTTTAATAACACTTGATGCAGTGTTGATACAGAAACTGCTGCTAGCTGGTTTCTAAGACAACAGTCTGTTACGGGAGTTCTGAGAAAATGCTTTCCAAATGCAATGCATGGAGCTGGTTTTAAATTAATCGCACTTGATGAGTGTCCTGTTTTCAGCATGGTACTTAGTTGCAGGCTAGGCTTAAACCCTGAAAACAAGTCTTGAAAAACTGAGGGGGTAGTGATGATGGAGTGGGATGTCTCCCTGATATATCTTTTTATGCTTTACTTTCCAGGAACCTCTTATTACCACTGTTCAGTCCAGTTCCAGGTATAGTATGACACCTGATGTCAAACTTGAAGTTCCTCGTGATTATGTTTCTGAAGCTTAGAAAGCCGAATAGCTGCTGTCTGCTGGAAGCTTAGATGTCAGAGAGTGGTGCATGAACATTTTTGTTTTACATGAAGTCCAAGTTGGCATCTGTGTACCACTTTACAAGCATGTTGGCTTACTAGCTAGATTTTTTTTTCTCATTTTAATAGGTGTCAGCATCTACCAAATGGTTTATGTCTCACAAGCTTTCATTTCCGGGGACTGCCAGGTGAATAGAAGACATTTAGATTGGATATAAGGAGGAAATTCTTTCCTGTTAGGATGGTGAGGCACTGGAATAGGTTGCCCAAGGAGGTTGTGAATGCTCCATCCCTGGCAGTGTTCAAGGCCACGTTGGACGAGGCCTTGGGTGATACGGTTTAGAGCGAGGTGTCCCTGCCCATGGCAGGGGGGTTGGAACTTGATGATCTTAAGGTCCTTTCCAACCCTAACTATTCTATGATTCTATGATTTTATGATTTGGTGACATGCCTGACTTTTTTTACTGACATGGGTGCCTTACTTGCAATACTTGTAGCAAATCTTACATCTAGGGGAAATAAGAGGATTATGCCTGTAAGAAGGAAAGTCTGTCAGAACTGGGGTTGGGGAAGAGCACTTTGAAACACCACTGAATCAAACTTTATGAAGTTGTATCCTGCTGACAATTGCTTTTGCTGAAATGTCAGAGGACTGTTCCATGCCTCTGGAAGTGTCACATGATATGCTGCTTGAATGGCTTTTGAATGAATGATACTCTGGGCAGCATGCCATGATTTAAATGTTGCTTACTTACTAGAGTTTTACTCTAGTAAGCAAACTTCTTGTAAGCTCCAGTATGAGGCCTTAACAGTACAAGATTTTTTTTTTTACTTGGCTAGAGTGTTAGTGGCCAGCCAGGTATTTTGCTGCCCTACCTTTGAAGTACTTGGTGGTGTGGGGAGGAAGGACTTCTGTAAGCAATGATATTTTTTGTTAGACATGTTTGTTTGTTTGTTTTGTCTTGCTGGTTGTCACTTCCTAAACTGCTGTTTCAAAAACATCCTTCTAGTTCATGGTCCAACTGGGTGATCCCGGCAATAGCAGCAATCATCGTGGCCCTGATGTATCGTTCCTACATGTCAGAGTAAGCGCCTTACTAAGAGCTAATGCAAGAAGAGACTGAGCTGGGAGAGGACATAAGCAATCCTAATCCAATATTTTTCCAGATAAAAGCCTGATGTCTGAAGAAAAAAAAAATCCACTTTTTCAGAAAACTGAACCATTCTTGTCTGCTGTGCACTTTTCCTAATGTTGCCTTCTTATTTGCTATTCTGAAGTGATAAAAAGGCAGCATTTCTCTTTTTATATAACAATTGTACTCCCTAATGAATTACTTGATAACTGTATTATTTTCTGTATTAGAATATTGTTCTGTATGTAACACTGATCATGGTTATTTCTCTTTAGTCTGTAATGGGGTCCATAGGACCCCCCTTTACATATAAGTTTTACAGCTTTAAATAACTACCAAAACTTTGTACAGGTATTTTTGTCCATGTACACAACTTAACTTAAAAAACCATGTTGTTGTCTTAAATGTAGTATGTTTGAATGAAATGCTAATTAAACATAATGGAAAAAGCTGAGTGGAGTAGTGGGTCTTAGTAGGTCCCAACTGCTTACAGGCACCTATCAGGCTATAATGAGCTGACTTTTTTTCTTTCCTCTTGACATCTGCTCTTCCAGTTGTTGTAGGTACTCTACTAGCAAACTGTTCTGTTTGACTCCTATTTAAAAAAATCCCAGTGAAATATGAACCCCAATGTTTGGCATAATTGTGTCTGTCTCGGTTTTGTGAAAAGTAGCTCTCTTGCAAAAAAAAGTCAGAAAAATGTAACTGCTACTAAATAATACTGTTCCTGCCAAGCACTCAGGTGACTCTGGAATCTGTTCTGGAACTTTTAGGCTTTTTATAAGATCTTCAGCTTTGTCATGTGCATTGTGATGGGGGAAAAACTGATAATGTGGAATCTGTTTCTGACTGTTCTGTGATGTACTCCTTGGTGCTTTACTATGAAGAGATTACTATTTTCACTGCTAAGTACAAGATAACTGAAAGTATGCATTTTGTGGTGAATGTTTTTAGTCATATGTGAATGATTATGAATAAAAGTTTAATTGCTTACTTTTGCTGGCTGAAATAAGTTCACTGAAAATGTTTCTGAAGGCCTTGTCAGGATGCTTTCACATACTGAGACACTTCTTGGAATACGTGTTTGATGGTGCAAGCTAAGAGTCAAAGTATGTCCTTTATGCAGAGGAGTTGCATGTGAAAAGTGGGAAAGTTTGTTATGGAGCAGTTAGCCTAGATAAGCACTTTCATCAGTGTGACCTCAGCACTAGCTAGTGACTTAGTGGTTTGGTTGTGCAAGCTCTTGCCTCCCTGACATTCAGAAGGACTTAAAACACTATTCCAAGGACTGCTTCTTGGCAACACCACAGAAGATGCAGCATGGAGATTAGGCCCTGTATCAAGTCAAATCAAATTGAAAGATAGTACATTATAAACATGAACTTAAAAAAAAAATAGAAAAATGAGAGAGGGGAAGTGCTGTGACTTCAGGAGGCTGTCTTATGCATATGTAGGAATATATCAATACAGGAATCCTTTAAGGATTCCTTTTGTGGTAATTCCTTTACTGTTATAGCAAGTAAGGGTATCTCATACCTTCGACTGTGAAAGTGTTCAATATCTCTCAGTCTTGTGTTCATGTGTTCTGTCAGACTTGGTTTATACTTAGGGTAAAGCCCATCAACTTTACCTTGAAACTTTTAACTTGCAATAAAAATGGGAGTGTTTGGGATTGTGCATCAGCTTACTTTGTTCTGGTTTTGCCTTAGCTTTCCCTCTGAATGGGATGAGAGTTTAAAAATTCAGGCTTTTATGGACAACCTTTAAAAGCACAGATTAACTCTGACTTGGTATTTAGACTCGTAAATCAAGTTTTCAGTCTTAAATGTTTTTTTTAAAAAACAACAAAATTCAGGTTCACATTTGGGGGGAGGGAGGGGGACTCAAACCAGCAACTTTAAGAAGCTTAACCTTTCATATCTATCTTTTTACCTCCAAGAATTTCAGACTGATAATTAAGTTCACACCAGCAGACAGGGTAGTGCAATCAAAATGGATCTGTAAGGTCACTCATGCTGCAAAAGGCTTTTTACCTAAGCTGCACATATTTTGAGAGTTTTAGTATGGTATAGCTCTGAGTCCCATATACTGGATTTTTATTTACACAATGCCACAGTTCAGTAGCCATACACAGAGAATTTCCATAATGTGGACCAAAAGTGAAATGAGTGGAGCAGCACAGCTTGTACCCTATACTTGGTCTGTTTGTATTCCCTTCCACCAGTGCTGATGGAAGTTGTTCTTCAGAGATGGATGTGACTTTCAGATTTTTAAATTGATTTTGTAAATTGACAAAACTATAAGCTAAAAAAAAAAATAATTTTCCTTTCCAGTACCCTAAGTTTAGAGCTGCTTTCCATAGGGGGTGATATGGGAGTTTTTTATGTGACTTTAGTTTTTGAGTATGAGGAAATGAAAAGGTACATGAGTGTGGTGAGGACTGAATGACTATGCTATTGAAAGACTAGTCTAGGGAATTAAGGGTAGTCAATGTTCTTACAGTCTGAAAGCAAAAATAAAAGATGGACAGTGTGCTTTCTTCTCAGAACAAAATCCTTTGTCGCTAAATATAAAGGTATTTGCTCTAATTGGTAATTAATACTAATTTTTGCATGGAAAGGCTGGTTTTGGTGGTTGAAGCTTTACATCAGATATCTTGTCTACTTGTACAACCTCACAATATTTATATTGCCTTAAATTACTTGATCACTGCATTATTGGCCTTCACTTGCATATGTTCTGCTGTTCACAAGAAATGCATAGTGGCGGAGAGGTCCCTTAAATGGAGGCAGCCTTGGCTTCTTCTTGGTGTCTGTGGAGTAAAGCCAGCACAACTTGTTCACTTGCTCCCTCTGCTATGACAAGGAAATAATAGTATGCTGTCCCTTTTTCTGGCTCACTTGCTGAAGCACACTGGCCTTTCTCTAGTTCTGAATGCTGTGCTGCAGTCAGGATTTTACAGGATGCTAGAGAAACTGGCAGGTCGCTACAAGCTAGGCAAATGGAAGTTGGTCACAATTTTCCTTGAGGTAAAAAAAAATGGAAAGGTACTGTTTTTGTTTTCTGAATGTTTCACTACTGAGGGTAAACGAACCGTATAAATTCTTGTCCTGTTTGAGCAGAACTGTTACTGCATTTTCTGATTTTCTTTGAGGCTGGCAATGAAGATTATTAAGTGAAACTGAGAATGAGCTGTATCAAAGCATCATACTAAAACATAGAGCAATAACAGCGTTGCACCATTTTCTTCTGAATATAGAAAACTATTTCAGAAACAGCGTAGAAGGAACAAGGAATGGGAGCAAACTCATGCTCCTGTATGCTTAGCGGTGATGCCTGACCTGATCTGATCTGATTTGAAGCTAATAACTAATGGATCATATACTTGAATTTTACTTTCCTTTCATACTACATTACATTCCTTCTCATGGTTAATTCATTATGTGTTGAAATATTTTGAGTTTTGAATGACCCAGCTTAGAAGTAGATGGTAAGACAAGCACAGGAATTCATGAGAAACATTGGACCTTGGTAGATGATTAATGCTGGATTTTCTGCTCTTTCTGAAAACTAGTCAAACTTGTTCTTAATCTTCTTACATGTAAGAGTATGCCTAAAACAATCATCTTTGACATTTTCTTTGTCAGCTTTCTGAAATCGGGGATGTGCAACGTGACTCCTCATCTATACTGATAGCTGCTGAAACAAAGCTCAGAATGGACTCAGTTGCACTGCTGAGTCTCATGTATAAGGAACAGATTTTAACTTTCATCCTGGGTAGTGTAATTTGTTCCTGGGTCTTAACATTTAATGCACTTAGGCAGATAACATACTGACAAGAGCCATCAGTTCTGTTCACTGAGGGAAGAATAGTGCTGTTAGGCAAGAAGAGTTATCCAAAAACCTTAGGGACGGTTGTTTTGGTATCTCTGGGCAGATCTCATGTGGATGCCCCGGCGTGCAGGAACTGTACCCAGTAGCGCAGTTACCACAGAAATCTTGCCCTTTTCCATAGACCATGGTCTATGGATAAAGCTGATTGATTGGTCCTATTGCAGGGTGACAGCACTTCATAGTATCCCTGGAGTTCCACCTACTTACATCCAGGATAAATTCAGCCCTGTGTTTGAAATTGCAAGGTTTTTACCTGGCAGCTGTGGGGAAATGTCTCTTTAAATAGAATGTGTTCTGGAAACTACTTCAAGGTCTACTAAGGGGGTGGTTAGACAGGAGGTGGTAAGCCAAGCAATGGGAGTCCCTTCCTAAATGACTTGAAAAAAGGAATGATCATTTTCCTGTCATATTTGTCACAGATTTCTGAAGCCAGCTGCTACTTTTAGTGTCAGTCATCTGGTCTTAACATGGCTTGCAGGGATATCCGTAAGAGCCTGATAGGTGTGTTTAGTGCAAGGATGTTGAGGATGGATGTGAATGAAGAGCTCAGCCTGCTGCTTTAGAAGCCTGCCCAGTGGTGGGCTGGTAACTGGAAACATGCAAATATGTCCATTCATTTTTAAACTGAATGGATTCCTAACTTGTGTTTGTTTGGATCCATTTTCAGAGTAGTGTTGTAGTGAGTAATGTTCTCTGCATCAGTCTGAGCAATTTGTGAATACTAAAGGAAAGTTGGTATGAGCAGCTTCTGAGATTAGAATGAGAGGACCTTGTTTTATTTTTAAGTGATTCTGTAGAACTACCTTTTGACACTACTGACGTAAGAAAGACGTTTGAGTACTACAGGCTATTATATACTTTATTGTCATGGCGAGGTCTTCAGACCTGAGGATATGGGTGAACAAATCATTAGAATACAAGCTAGGGTGTGTAGATTTAAAACTAGTTTACTACTCCCAGGCACCTCCTGGTGGTGGGCTGCTCTTAGTCTCAGCTGCATGCAAGATAATCTGTTGCACCTTTCCTGCAGGTTATATGATCACATGCTTGAGAAGCTCAGTATCTAGAAGATGTGTAAGTCTAACCAGGTAAGACCTTCCTGCCTTGTCCCATGAGAGTCTTCATCCAGCATGGTATCTCAGGCAACATGTAACACACATCAACAGGACTGGACTGCGCAACAAATTACGCTTTTTCACACAGTAAGTTGGTGTCTGCAAATAAACAGTTACTGGAGAAAAGAGAAATAGTCTTTCCTTTGTAGGTTATTTCTCATCTGGGATTTTCTTTGAGCTCTGTACCCTAACTGCTAAGCTGCACAGTTTTGCTCTCCTCTCCTGTATGAATTCGGCATTGTTTTTTCTACTGAAACAGATGAACTGCTTGAACATTTGCCCTTATTCTTGGACAAAGATTTACAGCCTGGATGAACTCTGGCCTAGTTTAGAGTGAGTTTGGATGTGTCTGCATCATTCCTGTAAGTGTAACCTTACTGGTTTCTGCTGGGTCTCGCTTCTGGTTTGCATAAGGCATGAGAGTACAGCTCCAGACTTGTCGCACACTTGCATGTCAGAACCTTTCAGTTTGTTCTTTAAGTTGTCACAAGCTTATTATGAATCCCACAAAAATAGATGACCTTGCTCTCAACTGCTAAAATGAATTGAAAAGAAAAAAAAAAACCAGCATAGTGTTAACATTAGTAATAAATCACCAAGCTACATTTTTTTGGTACTTTAATAATCTACATATTTTAAACCCATTGCTGCAGGGACTTCACTCGTGTAAAATACCTAGTGTAAACAGATTCTGTTCTTGTTTGGAGGGCTCAGTAGTTCTAATAACACTGCTGAAAATAGTATCAGTGACAGGCCTTGCAGGCAAGTGGATGAGTCTAAATTCCCTTATAAATACGTATTTGTACATGTCAGTGTTAGGTTTTTTTGTTTACTATGTAAATTACCAGAATAACTAAAAATCTGAAGACTAGAATGAATTAAGACTACAAACTTTGTCTTGAAATTGAGCACAAAATGAGACGCGACGTGTGAATATTGTGGTGCACTGCTGCTGTGTGCCTTGCTATGGAATGTTCTTCAAAAGTGAGCAAGAGGAGCACGTATTCCACTTGGCACGCTGCACTCTAGTCATTCTGTCTTCTGGGTAAACCTTCCCTTAATAATCTCATTTTGAATCCACCCATACCATGCTATTAGAAGGCGGCTAAATTTGCTTTGTTTTATTGCACAATAAAAAAGGATTTCTAGGTTTCATATGAGCGTTATGAGTTCTAGTGTTCATTGATTGTATCTTGGCTTTGATGTTACCTTCAGAGATCAGTGACCAGAAATACCATGAAGGAAACAGCGTTTCCACAGAATTTGGATTGCTGTATTATAAAAATGTGGTTTTTAAAATTTAAAAGTTCAAATAAATTTCATACACTGGGACAACAATTTTCATTTTGGGGGATCAATCCAGTCTATGCAACAAAGGTCTGGCAAAGTGCTCTAGAATTAAGGATAGCCTTCTTCCGGAAACCTGTTTGCTAAGAGGCTAAGACAGTAACAAAAGATCTACTTTATACCCTGGTCATCATCCTTCTGATTTCTCCATTTCATGATATAGTTTGAGTATTTGTATTATAATTTAATGTGCCCAAGCCAGAGTGCAGGCATTTCCTATCTCTGCCCTAGGAATAAAAATTTTATAGGGTACAGTGACTTCACAAGGTCAGAACTTGATTTGATTTCCATCCTAAATGAAAAGTTTGCCAACATATAACATTACTTAAATAAAAAGGTAGTATTCCAAACACTGAAGTTTTCATCCAAAAGTTCTTCCAGCTTCTAATGCTAGTGTGAGTTGTAATGTTCAGAGATCAGAAGTATCATAGTAAAACAGAAAGTGTATGGAGCTCATAAGGGCTCTTTAAATTGCAGTAGAAAAGAAAAGAAAAGAAGGAAGGAAAGTGCAATTTAACAAGTTTTAATTAGTAAAATAAAAATAAGGTTTCAAAGACAAGGCACATGGATTTGAAAACTCTGAGAAACTCTTCTCAAATAAGTAAGAGTTGTTTTTCTTATACCACCTTCTGAGTGCCATGCAACATTCACTGGTGCTGATTTTCAAAAGCAAAGTATTTCTGGAGTTATCTTGGGACAGTGACAGTCTTACTGCCCTGCTTCTTATATATTGCAGCTCCTGTACTCTACTAAGCCACCACTGTATGGCTGGGCTGCTGAAGCGTCCTCATGTGTCAGAGGGTGTCTTCACTCCAGAGCGTTCCAGTGATGCTTTGTTGCATTGACCAGGCTGATCCCTTTAAAATCAGCATCATTGCCTCAGCTTAACAATGCTTCCTACCAGTGAAGCTGCATTCTTGAGAGGCCTTGTGCCGGTAAAAGGAGGCCACTTCACTTGTTCCATCTATACTCTGAGCCTCTTGCAATCTAGTGCTGAGATAGTGGTGCTTCTAAGAGGTACAGCTGTGAAGGAGACACAGTACTTATTAGAAACACTTGAGCAAAGTAAACATACTTACAGAGCTAAGATACATCTTAAGGTTGCTTAATGCCAAAATGTCGGATTATTCTGAGTTTCTGAAAAGACCTAGATATCTTCCTATTTGTTTATCTACATGCATATATATAGATACATGTTATTAAAAACTGAAAAAATAAAGTGCTCTCAGGAAAAAAAATCGGTTCTCAGGCTTATCTACTCCTCTGTGATAACCTGGCACTGAGAAGTCTTTCTTTTTGAAAGCTTCTCTTCAAGTTTTTACTTAAGAATGAATAGCTCTCTTCCACCTTCCCTCTTGAGTCTTCAATGGCTTCTTCCATGGGGCAAAGCCTGTGTCTGGATTTTGTATCTGTGCCAGAATACAGCTGAGACACAGGTCTCAGCAAAATACAAAGCAGTTCTGTTGCTGGACAACACGATCAGTGGGGAGCAAAAGGGTTCCTAAGAGGTTGAGGCGATGTGTTATTTTTTGTCCTTTTCAAGATAAAAGTACAGAAATATGTACCATATGGGGTTACTGGGCTTTTGTAAACCCGGCTGCTGTGTTTTCTTCCTTCGAAGCTCTTCCCTCCCCTACAGGCAGGGGCAGCTGGGGGATGAGTATAAAACCCCA